ATCTAACATTTGGAATTAAGCAGGTGCACTAATGTTATTTTCTGGTAAATATTTTTTTACCTCTCTATGCTGCTAGTAAGGTTAAACCTGTATCCAAGATTGTTGCCCATACATTCCCTACAGGTATTTAGCTCAACAGGCTGCATTACTAAGCATGAAATCCCCCTTTGGCACCTAGTGGAGGTAGGGACTGTGCTCTTTGGGTTTTACCGGACTTAAGCACATTTTAGAAAGTCTAAGAAAGGTGGTTGTGTAGATTTTATTACCATACCAAACCTTGTTGCATGAATAACTCAATAAAATCACCTAGTCGCTTTTCATCCATATAAATGCCATATGCTGTGTTTCCTTCACGGGCAAGTGTGCATGTTGCTGTATTGAATATCAAGCGCCCACTTTCTTGTTCAACAAAAACACCTCAGGACACTATAGCCGTTTCCATCACATCTGAAACAAGTTCACCAACATTCGCAGAAACTCTCAAAGGTAGTGGTAAGGAAACCAAATCAGAGCAGGTACGAAATTTTATTTTATTATCACAATTTTACTTTCAATCATATGCTACAGTATATTATTATGATCACAGTTGCTAGAAGGCTGATACCAACTTGGAATTCCCACAAATATACTTACTTTAAGTCATAATATTGCAACGCCATCTGCAATAAGGATCTTTTCAGCATGCATGGTTACTATTATAAGCTGAGTAACTAATACATTACCTCAGACTCACTTGCCGGTAGACCTGCATTGGTAAAAATGGTGTTCGCAACAATATATTTGATATTTTCTAGCACCAATGCAAACATCTGTGCATGGTTTGCCACCCATTATTATAAAAATGTGGGTCATGAGTGAACAAGTTTGGGAACCCTTGATTTATCTGATTCCTCTGAATGTAATGGTGTGTAGGGCTCAGGGGATTTTGCATACTTATCAGATCCATATTTGACTAGTATCTATTATGTTAACTTGGGTTTCTTAAATATTGCCAAATGTTAATTTGATATTGTACAAAAAATTACAAATTAAATATAGGTAGAAATTAAGACCAATTTAAGAAGTTCCTAACTTTTAATAAACAGTGTGTGTGAAAAGCAACTTCTTCAGAGTTGTGGTCATGTTTCTTGCGGAAAGAAAAAAAAAGAGCTGAATATCGTGCACCAAAAATAAAACACCACAATTTTGTAAACAGCATGAAATGTGCTGGCTATGCCTATATGAAAATTAGCTTAGCCTACTCAATACACAATAGTACAATAGTACTGTGTAGGCATAATTCTGTAATTTTGTACAATAAAAGGAACATGATATGGACCTATTATAAGAAGGACATACAACGATTTCCAGCTAGCGTGACTAATTAGCCTTCAGCCAATCAGCGATAAGCGGTAATTGGAAACTTCAAAGCGTTTTCTTATCGCAGCCCGCTCTCGCGAGTGCCTTTTGAATTAACTCATCTTTTCCGCCTATAGGACACCCTCTATCGGTGAATATGGAACGAGTGGAGCAACAAATTTTACTGACGTCGTTAGTTTGGGTCCATTTGAGAATGAATTTGACATATTAGGTGACCTTTAGTGTTAGCTTTTTGTGTGCGGTGGATCGAAAATTTTTCGTAGCTACAAGTACCAAAAAACCGAATTTGAATACGACTTTTTGTTAAAAAGTTACTGAGATTCGAAGGTAAGATTATTTAGTTTGTTTGTGATCGATTTTTCTAGAAAAAAATGAGAATTTGGTGCCATTTAAATGCATTTTTTAACCGTTTCTCCCGACTTCTCCACAAAACACATACGAACAACAGTTGGATAAATTACAAAACTTCATTGAAACATGGTTGTTTTATCTTTACAGTTCTTTACAAAATTTTCATAGTGATTTTAGGTGATGGTGGTTCTATGATGATATCGTGATATGTCGATTGTAGAAATGACGCATCTGCCTGGTTATCGTGACGTTCATAGGCTTCCCAGGGCCTAGGCTAGGCCGGCCTATCTGTAATCTAGGCCTTGGCTTCTATCTTCTCTTTGTTGACTGTAATAATAGTAGGCTATGCCCTAGGCCTGTATTTTAAATATTAGGATAGCTAGTTAATAGGTCCACACTCCTACACACATATCTAACCTGTATTTTTATTGTGTGTATTTATTCAGAATGTGTTTCATGTTCTTTTTAAGTCTCTCTATTGTTGAATATGATTTGTTCATCATTTAATAATAATATGTTTAAGACCTACATACAGTATCTATAATAATTAATATTTTGCTTGTTTTTCTCTTTGTATGTTGTTGTTCAGGAAATAAAATCATTATTGATGAAACTGTATTGCTGATGATAATGTTTTAATTGTATGGTATAGAATAAATGAATCATAATTTTGCTTTTCCACAGTGAATTTGTTGAGTTAAGCAACTACCATACTCTACATCTTAAGTGAGAAATTCTGTCAAGACCCGGTGATTGAGAATTCAAAGAAGAGAGGTGCTGGCGGCTGGACTACCAACTCAACACGGCAGTTTCTACTAATGCGTTACAGCTTAAGGAAGTAGCGTGCCCTCAATTTTCTTTCGCTATCCTTTAATAGCAGACGATGCTGACTCAGAGAGACCTCCGCGCGAAGTTCGAATTCCCTTACTATGGCTACCACCTCATAGTTCGACAGTGTTTTCTACGAAAATACACTGAGTTGAAAGTGTTAAAAACGTGCACTGCATTGAAATACGTTTATATAATTGAATTGGACAGTGAAAAACAAATATATTTAGAATACAACTTTTTATCAGTTTTATTTTTGAAGAAAATTCGTAATAAATATTGAACAGCGCCACCAATTCAAACTGGATGTAAACAAAAAAATTGTCGGCAAAATCATCGTAAGTTTTCACTGTTTATCTTTACATTAATAATACTACAGAAATTTCATCGATGCATTCTTTATTATGAATTATCCATTGTTTATTTTAACTAGGTTTTACCAATAGTTGATGGTTAGATTTTTAATAACGTTTAGATTAACATACACCTCCGAATTATTATAGGCCTAGGCCCTAGGCCTAGCTCAGATCAACAGTTAGGCGGGCTTCAATATGGCCTAGGGCCTAGACCTTCAGTACTTTACCTATAAACATACAATTTTGTAATTAAATTAATGGTACTTTTTTAATTAGCATTTGTTTAATTAACATTGTTACCAACAAAACAACATGGTATCCAAGTATTCAGGTTCGAGGTACTATGATGTGTACCATTTATTTCATTTTTAAAATTTCACATACAAAATTCAGTAGAGCTTATTTCTAATTACAGTGTACAATAATAATGAAATACCTATGTGCTAATTAATTAATGTGTTAATTAAATAGTTAAACTAGAACAATATGAAAAAGTTCATGACAGGTCTATTTTTTTTAAATCAAATACATGTCTGCAGTAATGGAACGTGCACTTTGCAGTCTATGCCGCATTTGTAGTAAAAAGTTTAGAGAAACTGGAAAGGAACAAAAGTACAAAGTGAACAATTTTGTAAAGGAACCTGATTAAATTATTTTCAGTTAACATAACAGAAGAAAAAGATTATGTACACCCACACTATATTTGCAACACACGCCATCCAAAAGGGTGTCTTGGACAAACCAGCAAACCATCATTCAATTTTAGAAAGCACCACATTAAATGCGTCACATGTTATTTATTAAAAGAACAATTAAAAACTGGTCGCAGACAAAAAAAGAAAAGCGTGATAAACAAAAATAGAAGTGAAATTGGACAGTTTGTCAATGAGTCTTGCATATCTTACACAGCATTAAGTGATGGATTTCAATTAGCAGATGACAACCTTTCAACAATATACAAATGTAACATTTGCAACAAAGTTATGTCAATTGAAAGTGTTGCCACTAAATGCAACCACTTCTATTGCAAATTTTGCTTAACCCAAGCTTTCAAAGCAATTGGGCGCCAAACAGTACATTGCATTATGTGTAATGCTGATCTCAATGCACAAGACATAACTGACATACCACCACTTGTAGTAAATGCATTAATAAACGTCCAATTAAAGTGCAATACATGTGCAGCAAATCTTAAGCTACATGAAACAAAACAACTTATTTGCATGACCAGCAGAGAAAGAGCTTTCCTTTCTATCAAAAATACAGTGAAGGAGATAGAAAATACTGCATCCAAAAGCGACGTTTGCCCCCCTGAACTAACAGGACTTGCACACAGTATTGTGCAAAGATTTGAACAATGTAATGGCAATAAAGACCAAAGGAAGAGTAAGTATTTGTTTTAAAGTTACATAAAATTTACCTGCAATACTACAGTAATTAAAAGTGAAATGAAATTTAAAGAAGGAAATATATTTTTAAAAATTTAATTTCAGTTACAGTACTGCAGTATTTGTTATTTCAACAATAAGTTTAAATTAGAAATTGTATCATCAGTAATGTGGTACTGTTATTACTTTAGCCACTGGAGGTAGTAGCCAAGTCAAAAAACCAACAGTCATAGTGAACTAGGAGAAAATTCAGACAATGGATGCCAAAAGGTGCCTGGCAATTATGAACGCGTGCCGCATCAACTGGAATCAGCAGCGTAATTTAAGGAGGTTTGTCGTACTGTGTAGTTGTTTTCATTAATTGTTTACATAATATAAACTTTACAAGCATTAAACGTTAATCGATTATAAATTTCTTCCTTTTTATTACAGATTTTGTCCAAGAATTTTGGCCTCAGAAAAAAAGATGAGGGCCTGCCAAGATGATATTATTTCTGACTACCTTGTTAAGTCAAAAGAGTACATGTTCATTAAGAAAGAGGGGGCAAACTCTATTGGAGGTCTGCTGCTGGAAGAAGTGCCAGTTGTTAGAATGAGAAACATCAAAAAACTCATTTTCGAATACCTTGACAAATACGACAAGTATGTTTAGTTTCATGTTATTTGCAAGACTGTTTGCACAAAAAAGTGCCCGAGCCCTTATGAAAATTAATGTAACTGTGATTAAAAATTGCCCTGTTTTCTAACAAACAAACAAGTATTAAAGTGTGTACTGTATTGCCATTGAGATTTGTATTACTATTGATACAGTCCTCACATGACATAATTCATGTTCAAATCTTGAATACCAACACGGTGGTAGCATTTCAATACTTAGAGCATGTACTTTCTTATACATTAGTTAATTGATACATAAATAATATATCATGTATAATAATTAATATGTACATATAAAATTTAAAAATTATTGTGTACAGTAAAATAAAATTTAATTAAAATTGAACTACTGTATACACTGTACTGTAGCCAACAGTAGTGTAATAACGTTCAATATTTTTTATATATTATAAATTTTAGTCATTCAAATTTTGCATTATTTTTCAACCTAATACACATTCAATCTCTACAGTGTAGTAATTAATGGTATTAAATCACTTTTTCTTTTTTAGGTCTGATGAAAACTTGCTTAGTTTCAGTGAAGGGGATATATTTTGATAAAGTTTGGTGGCGACAAGGGTGGGGATACAACAAAGTTTGAAATTCAGTTGTGCTGTCTTCCCAAACCAAATTCACTGGAAAATGTAATTGTGGTGCTAGTATTTCAAGCCCCAGACTTCACCGTAAACCTTCAAAAAGGTCTGGCCCTTATTATGGATGAAGTTATCGATAGAGAAGGGAGTGTGTGGAAATCAGAAAGGACAAACAAGTAAGTTTATCTATTTTTATGATTTGACAGTTGAAAACAAAACATTACATTACATGAATTTTATCAATATTGAGTATAATTAATATTCAAATATTGAATATGACGTTTAAATTTTACAATTAAAAATTATTTTTCCAGGAGTCACACGTTACAATTGTTTTTCTTCTAGGATTACGAGTTCTTGTCTTGTGTTTATGGACTCATTGGATCTAACGGTAATAATTATTTCATTTGTATTTTACAAGATAATAATAATTATTATTTATAAATAGAACATAGTAATAACAAATATTTTAATTGTTAAATATTGTAATATACTGTACATTTTTAAAGGCAAGTATTCCTGTATATACTGCTTGATAACTCAGCATGGAATAAAAGATGGTACAGGAAAATGTTCTAAAAGGACCTTGGACAGCTACAATGATGACTTTGAGGAATTTTTTCGGAATGGTAGTGACCCAGCAAAAAGCAAATTGGTCTCCCATAGTGTAGTCAGAAAACCTATGCTCAACATCGAGTTAGATATTAGGTTAGTATACAAAAAAGAAAAAAAATATATATAATTCCTGGCAACTCTTTATAAAAACAACTTGTATATTATATTGTTGAAGTTAGACAAGGTTAGTAAAAATGACTTATTATTAGTGGTCACTCTTTAACAATTGAATTTTTTAAACAATACAGATGCTTACCTGAATCAACAAATACTTTTCTAATTCTGACACTAATAACGTATATTTTTACAGGTTTCAATACCTTCGCTACAGATCTCATTTGGGATATTTAAGAAACTGTTCGATATTTTAGAAAGAGATGTCCACGATATTGACTGTCAAATATTTTATTTGCAGCAGAGGACTCTTGGTCCAACTAGTAAGTATGTTTTCAAACATGTTATGTACACTCCTTGAGAATAGTATGCATTCCAAAATACTGTACTTTGATAGATTTGTATTCTTTTTCAGGTGATCATGAGTTGACAGACTTCGAAACAGCCATTTCAGAGGCCGCCACAATTAGAAATAACAGTATTACTGAAATCAAATCCTTGAGACGCTATTGAGCAGATGCGGGATGAACTCCCGTTATCAATCCTTGCTAATAGTGATGTGATGTCCAACAAAGTGGCAGGCATCTGCTATGAAACTGCTGTAAAAGAACAGAAGGTGAAAGACTTGGTAAGCTAAATTATATTATTAACATAATAACATACAGTATAATAGTAACAAAAAATTGTTTTATTATTATTTAATATTAATAATAATAACAACAATAATAATAATAATAATAATAATAATGACAATAATGGCACCCCTCTATTATAATGTTTGTAAACTTTTAGTATTTTTTTCATCCCCTTTTTTTACAAGTCCAGGAAAATCATATAGATCAAGAGCTGAAATTCGCAAGTGGCCCCTTTGGCAACAAGTATGGATGATGTTTTGCATGCTAATAAAATACCAAGACAACAATATCATGGGAAAAGCTTCGTTGGAAATCATGTTCACAAAGCCTGCAAGGTAAGTACTGTACCGTACCAATAACTAAATTATTTTTGTAATTGAAAACAAATTTTTTTTATTTCATTATTTTTTTTTAATTTTTTAGATTAACATCATTGACAAATTGATGATTGGTATGAACTCTGCCCTTCAAAATGAGCTAGAAGAATGCCCGATCAGCTCAGCAAAAATTCTAAACACAGCGTTAGAAAAAATAAAAAAGAAGCACACAACAGTTTTTGAAACATTTGCTAAGGTACACACGTTAATAAACCACACAGTTCAGTTAATTCAACTGAACTGAGAGAATATGGTAAGAAACAAATTCACATTTTGCATTAAAAAAAAATAATAACTAGCTTTTTGTTAAAGTGTTTTCCAAATTATATGTGCATTTTTTTTGTTTTTGACCCAGAGTCAGCAATCAAGAGAGTATCGAAAAGTTGCAACCAATGTTAAGCAACCAAAGCTACATATGCTGGAACATCATTCAATTGAATTCATGAGGAAGTGGAAGGTTGGTCTTGGCTTGCTGTCTGAGCAGGGTGGCGAACTAATACATGCAGAATTCAATCGCCGTAAAAGATCTGTATATGGATTACGAAGTCATCTCGACCAAATTATGTCCGTTATGAAATCCCACCTGTTGTTCACATCACCAGACATACAAAATGAGATATCATCATTGTCAAAGAAAAGAAAAATTGAAGAGTGATCAATAAAAAAAATGTATGTGTAAAGTGAGTAATGAGTTAATAATTAATAGTTAATTCATTGTCTTGCTTGTCTAGCATTGACTCAGTATTCAGGCACAATTTGAAAAATGAAAATAATTATTTGTTATTTAAAAACATCACAATTTTAATCTTTAAATTAAGGTCATATCCTGGAGTTTAATAACACATTCTATAAGAACAATGAGGCTGAAATTGCTTTAAAATGAACAAAATTAGAACAGATTCAGGCTGACGTAAAATATCAAATGAGATTTTTATAATAAAGAAATATATGGTAAACCAATAAAAAATAACTCCAGTGAAATTCTTTTGGCCTTGCATGTACCTTATGTGCACTAAAGGTGTGACTATGTAATAGAAAACTCTCAATAATACAGTACAGTAATATACTGCTGTACAATATTGTTTATCTTTAAAAACTCCTATTTGCGATAGGTATAGTCTCGGCAATGTGTTAATTAGGCCTGGCCTATTTATTGTATTGTGTAATATGATACATGAATTTGGAATAAAATTATATTAAATATACAGTAGTATTTAAAATGTTTACTTACTTATACCGAGGTATGAAACTTAAATAAAATGTAATGCATTAATTGCAGTTTTAGGGCCTATTGTTTATTTTATCAAATATTGGGGTTAAAAAAAAGGTTACTGCAAATTGGTAACGTAAATCGTTGGTAGTGATAATTAATTATCTTAAATTAGGCAAGTATTAATCGTTTTCAAAAGAGTTATATTCAACCATAAGTATAATATTCTGTAATGCAAGCATTCTTGGTAACCTCTTCAACTTAAGGTTTTTTTCCTCTTATTCTACCTCAATTTAGTACATATACCCCCCAGCCCCCGCCCAGAAAAAAGGATGACTGAAAAAAATTATAGTTGTTTTTAGTACATCAACCCCCACCCCACCCTAACCCAGCAAACAAGGAATTAAATAAATTATAGTTGCATTATTTAATATACCTATGTGTGTGTTTTTTAATAAAGTATGCCTACAACGGATATAAACAAGGCCATTAAAAGCCATGCAAACGTACAGTATGCACATGTGTTTTCACTAACAACACCACACATGTGAGATGCCAGCCTGCGTACACATGGCCTAACATCGTCTTTATAAAAAAAAAAAATTAAGCCAACAACTATTCATGGTGTTGGCATTATTGATTTCGTTTATAACTGAGAATCAAACATACACCAATGACTTTCATGTAGTATTATTATGAACAATGATGCGATGAAAGACCTATTACATACCTTTTTTATCTAAAAAAAATTTCAAACTTCTCTTCACCTTCCTCATCGGGTCAACTTTTTTTCTTTTCAGAGCCACCACTTTAACAAAAGAGATTTGATGCATTAAATGTGATAAATGTCACACTGGCCTTTGAAAAATAAAGTCTCAAAAAATATTTTTTAATTCATTTATTGTGCTATTACTGCCATCTCTGAATACATAATTATGTAATATTCATCATTTCAAGAAGCAATTAGTACCTCAATATCTCAACATAATATTGTATTTTTATTATTTACATTATTTATTTACACAAGCGATTACTATTCCAGCACCATCAGTCAGATTTCCACATACCTGTACATCAACACATTTACTTGGGCGATTCCTTTTCGTAAGCTTTTTTTCTTAGATTTTAAGGTACTGTTTTTTTCAATTTTGTACATGCATGTATATTTTTACAATATTATTATTACATCCATTGGTGACTCTCTAAAGCTTTCAGTGCACCTCCAATTTCCTCTTGGGTATAAACACTTGCAGGCCTTTCAGTCTGTTTTTTTCTGAAAATAAATATAAAATTACTGTATTAAAATAATAAAAAAAGGTAGGAAATACAAATAATTTAACTACTGCATGGTATTTTTTGTATTGGCCTGCATTTATTTGCCTTTAAATTAGGACACAAAACAAATACAGTACATATATAAATATGGCTACCTGCGGTATTTATTAATCTAGGTTTGTGAAAATAAATTTCCAGGCATCAGTTAAACTGGTCAATAAAAAACATAACATACATAAAAGTAGGTATGAAAACTGAAGTCAATCAAACAAATACCAAAATTATTAATACTACAGGTCCATGTTTTAGCCCATATTAGGCAAAATTTAAAAAAATACAGGGTACTTTTTTTTTACAGACGGTACGGAACCCGTCTGTTTCTCTGAGCTAGGCCCCTGTTACGCACCGTTTACAAGCCCAGGTCATCGCTAGGAAGGCTATTTTATTTGGTGTCAAGCCTATGCAGTTGAAGTAGTGGTACCACGTATTACTAGGCCTAGGCCCTAGTACAGTTTGGATCACCACATGCAATCATTTTATCCTCTGACTTCTGTTTGCATACATAGTGCATAATTGCGTTTCTGTTATCGATCTCTGCATCGTTGACGCAAAAATCGAAATCGTCCATACTGTATTCGTATTTTCATGGACCTGGTATTTTAATGTGTATGTGTCTCGATCGCTGAGAACCAGGCAGCCGAACGAAAGCCTAATGCGCATGCCCAGAAAGGCAATAACGTAAGAAATAACAGTACCGAGCTTATCTTTTCATAGTTTATTCCGATAAATATACCCCTCTCTTATCTTTTCGGAAAAGATGATTGATCAAAGGGCAATACTGCGTTGTATTTCCTTCTTATTAATAGGTCCATGATGATATCATTAAGGTTCTAAATCGGAACCCATGCAGTCATTGAAGCCACGTATATGACATAATCTATACACAATATGTGATTTAAAAGAATGCCTTCCCCTACTTCAAAATAGGCAATCCTGTCAAATTTGCCGAGGAGGTTTAAGAGGTGTTCACATACCTCGGCGGATCCAAATTGCATTCGATGAAAACTGAAAATGTGCTAAAATTGAATTTTAAAAATGGTACTGCATTAGAGGTACGTGTTAATTTTAACGCACAGGCCAGTATGGCCTGTGAGTTATTGTGATGGTGCTGCAAAAAAACATGTCATCAGTTGTAAAATGCTCTCATTCCTTCATTTTTAACTTGGAACCTGAGACAACTACTATACAAGGAAATTGGAAACGACTCCAGCTTTCCTTTCTTCTTTCAGTCCATCCCTGTAATTCGTTGATTGTAGCGAGCTTTTACAGATGGAGAAACAGATTGTTCGTCCAGATGAGTTTCAATTGGCATCGGTGTTGTTGGCTTAGCTTCAAGAACTTCAACGATCGGCAACCGAACACTTTTGCAGCCAAACGAATGCTTACAGCGCATGCGTAGTCCAGAATCACTGAACCATGTACTATGGATTTGTAAATTTTGCAGTAAATACAAAACCTTATGTTAAATAATTTAACCTGTCTCTTATACACATCTAGATGTGTATAAGAGACAGATCCTAGGTTGTACTCAATACCTTCATTGAAATACAAAATTTCAACAAAAAAAAAAACCTCCTGCCTTTAGCGTAAAACAGGCCTAAGCAGCTAAGTCTGAAGGGCTAGCTTGCCTGATCCCATTATAGGCCCCACACAAATTTGCTTATAATCGGGCGTTTTTACCTTCTTAAGTACGTATATTTTACTCAAACAACTTCCATGAGTACTTGGGTCATTCCGTGCCAACTCAACAAATGGGATGGCTGGGTACCGTCTCAGATTTTCTTGAAACTCGGATATAATGTGCACCAACATGTCTGACGAACAAACCCAAAATTTGACTTGCCAATTCTAAGTCGTAATTTTAAGGTCATACCCCTTTTTAGCTATCAATTATGACATATTTGTAAAGTTGCATTTTCAATTAGCCACATCTTCAAATAGAATAAAGATAATTAACTGAAAATTGATATCTAGACTTCCATTTTTAGACCACATTAAAATACCCAAATCAGTTATTAAATGGGTCTTGTGCAACAAATTATTAATATATAGTTGGAAATGTTTCACCACAAAAAATTCCGGATTTTTAACTTTTAGGGGGTAATCGTAGGTCAAAAGGTCATTCGGGACAAAAAATGCACAAAAATGCCTCATTTTTATGGTGACCTTTGACCCTGTGGCCAAGTACGCTTGTTGTTAAAACTTGAACCATTAATTAATTTACATATGATGATCAGATGTTTCAAATATCAGCTCGGTGTCTTTATCCCTTCATGTTTAAAAAGCGATTTTAAAAGGGGTATATTTTTCAATTTGTGACAGTATCAGTGCGTAAATGTGATAAAATTAATTTTTGAATAACGATAATATTAAAAAT